TTCCCCATTAGCTATCATAAACGTCTTTCTTGTCATTTATTTCCAAACTTCTTGAACAGGTTTTCACACTTTCTGTCTTCCTTTTCTCATCACTCACTCTTTTTGCAACTGTTTGCAATATCACTTCAGCTTTTACCACTCTTCTCAAAATCACCCAGGTTTCCTAGGAAACGTGTCTTTCTCTGCCAAACCCCACAACACAGCTCCCCTGTGTCCTGTTCTTTCTGACAGATCTGCCCACTTGCTTTCCCGAGAGCCTATTCTCCTTGACTTCCATGGAATCTCGTCATCTCCAAACAGTCTTCCTTGGACCATGGGACCAAGATCCCATGTGCAAAATGCCCTCTCTTTATCTCATGCCCCTCAAGTAAATTCAAGCTGGGAGAATAAGAAGGATGGTTCTTATATCTGAATCCTAACTCCACCACTTACGTTTATCATCTGCTCATGTCACTTATGGGCTCCACACCCAAATTCCTTGTCTGTAAACTTGGGATGCTAATAGTGTCCACTTCAGGATTGTTGTAAGAATTGGTCAGATGAATGGAAAGCCCTGAGATCATTGACTGATACACAGTACAACAAGCAATTAAAACCATCAGTGTTAACTGTACAGTGTGTAATGGTGCAGAACTTCAATCCAAATAAAAATAGTTTGCAAAGGAGCATCTTTGGAATATTCCCCTCAGTTTATTCCTTATTGACCTCAGTCTTGATCCAATTAAACTTCATATTGATTGATTCTTGTTAAACTATGAAATAAGGACTGAATAGTTTTTACATTAACCCCATTACTATGGAGTTTCACACGTCAAATTACACCACCTTTTTTATTCTTATTTTCCTACTCCTGTATTCCAAGTGTTGATTTAGGAAAGCACTATTTAGAAGCTAGGTAAGTGAAGAACATTTCCTGGGAAGACACTTGTATTCTTGCTTATACTCCTTTTGCTAAACTGTTCAGCCCACTGGAGAAAAGATTTTTCAGCTTAGGAACCATTTTTTTTCACAACACAATGACTAGTTTCCTTTCAGGGAGAGTTTTAGTGAAAACGCGTGTTTCATGGATGAACAAAGACAGTGAGGGCCAGCTGATTCAACTGCTTCTCTCTCAAGATAAGCAGAGAAAACCTTCAGCACCAAGTGCCCGTAGTACGCACTTACCTCTGGTTCCCCAGCCATGCTTCAGCCTGGCTCATCTGGACAACCATTTCAGCAGATGGCCTGGGGAGTCCCCCCCAAGGTGACTGAGTTCAGTTTCTCATGTCTTTCCCGCACACCAAACCCAAATTTCAAGGACAGTCTCCTGTTTTGCTCTCCGTAAAGAGGACCAATAACTTTTTTAAGCAACTTACTTGTATTAATTACATTGGACTTACATTTCATAGAAAGAACAGCTAGCTTTTTATTCAAATTTATGCTTTATCTTTTAAATAACATTTGGTAAGTTAGATTATTATGATAACAAGCTTGAGTATCACAAACAACAACTCTGAGTAAGCCCACAGCACAGCTGGCAGGAGTGAAGTGTGCGGAAGGAGCCGGGCACCGGTGGCTCCAGTTGTTCATCTCACAGAGACAGTGGAGGGCACTGGGCTCTTGGCAGCTGGTTGTCACACCAAGGTGACTAGGACAGCAGCTCTGTAGTTTCCCAGTTGCCCAAGGAGCTTTTGCATTTCTCCAAACCTCCTAAACTAAAAACCATTAGCTCCATCCATTAGAGTTCTTTCCCTTCTCTCTGATCTTATTGGCAACAAATTTAATTTACTCCTCTGCTGTGTCTTGCTGACAAAGCACTGGGGGATCATTAGATAAATGATGGACAATGTTTCCCATCCACCCAGGAGTCTGGGCAGTTGGAAGACATCAGTCATTAATTCATCATGAGAGCAGCTTCGGCAACACAATTAGAAAGAAGATACCAGGGCTGCCTGCCATGCTCACGACCAGGCTGCTGCTCGGATGTGTGGGTGTGACGATGGAACCTGGAGGACCAGCGCCCGGCCACCAGCCGCCCCCACCAGGGCCCATCTGCTACTGACTTAAAATCAGATTAATGCATGCACACAGTTTCAAACATCAGATCATGCTGCAAGAGAACTTCACAAACAGCATCCCCCTGCCCAACCCACCTCCACTCCAGCCCCAACTGCTGCTCCAGCGGGTCAAAGAATCAACTCTTAATTCTTTTAGATATTTATCCTAGCATTTAACTTTGTATTTTTAAATAACACGTTTATACTGCTGCTTTCTGATTCTTTAGGTTTAGAAACTGTGTGTTGACTTTCTGCAGTCGAAGATGAGGACTTGGCAGGCTTCTCCCCCAAGCCAGCATGCACATGTTCGTAACACCACACCAACTAGACTGTGGTTTCCTCGTTTAGTACAGACTTTTGTTTTTGTTTTGTTTTTCCTCACTTTCATAATTTCCTTTTGTGTATCACTCCTCTGTACCCAAACTTTCAGTGAGAGCTAGAAAATCCCTCTTCGTTCAGGCCGTCGACAGTCCTGTTTAATGAGGATAGGTCTCTGTCCTGCTGTCCTTGTCTAGAAGAGTGGTCCAAGGTCAGCTCTGCAGCCCTCCTCCAGGAGCTCCTCCTTATCCCCCACCACCCTGGGCACTCTCCTCTTCTCCATGTGAGATGCTGTGTTCTGGACACCCATCTTATCCTCTTGGTGGAAGCACAATGCCCAGTAGCGTCTGGGGGGAAAAAGTCTTTTATTAAGACTTTGATTATCTGAAATCAATTTTGAAGTTTACTTTCACACTTTAAACTTGGGGAGTATTTTGAAATAATTGAATGAATGTGTTTGTGTAAGTTATTGTTCCAACAGAAAGAATCTCAATCTGAAAACCGTAGAAGAACTCGGAGTTCCTCTGCTTGGGCTGGTCTTTCCCCAGAGAAGAATGCTCCAACCTCTATCAGTAGCTGGGAGAGGAAGGGGCTGAGATGCATCCCACTTGACCCTTGTTTTTGGAAATATACCTCAGTTCTCTTCATCCATGCAGGTGTCCCAGGGACGACAGCCTCTCTCATGACCCCTCCAGCTAGTGGGCCTCCCATCGGCTAGCTGTGTGTTTGGGGGCTGAGGGCAGTCGCTTATCTGTGCAGCAAGCAGGAGGGGATCTGTGCATCTTCTGCTCTTTATAAAGAGCAAAGACCCCTCCCATTCTCAACGCTAATCCACCATCCCCAAATCCAGATCTTTCTGGAGGCTCTGATTTCTTCTGGAGCTGGCAATGCCGGTTGGCTTCCTTCCCAAGGCTCTGGTGTCACTCTCTCCATTCTGCTGTCAGCCCCACTTGTCCACCTCCTCTCAACTTCTGGAATCATCTTGACAGATCTGATGAGGCTTTCTCCTCCTTTTGTTTCACTTTGACTCATAAATTCATGCTTATTTTATTCTTCAATTTTTTGAGAGCTCCAGGAAAGAGGGGACAAAAGTGTGTCTGTTCAAAGAAATGTGAGAAACTGGAAACATATTGATTTGCATTAAGAAAACAAAAGAAATGCGTATCTAAAAGTATAGTGTGTCCTGGCTGGCCCCATGGCCTGGTAGTTAAGTTCGACATTCTCTGCTTTGGTTGCCCAGGTTCGGTTCCTGGGTGCAGACCTACACAACTTGTCACTGGCCATGCTGTAGCAGTCAGTGACTCATATACAAAATAGAGGAAGACTGACACAGATGTTAGCTCAAGGCAAATCTTCCTCAGCAAAAACAAGTAAAATAAATAAATAAATAAAATTGGAGTTAAAAAAAGTATAGTGTGTCATATTTCCATTGTATTCTGACAAAATAAATTCTGTCTACACACAGAGGCTCCAGACAGATGTAGAAAGTTGGTCGTGTTCCACTGTGGGTGTTTTTTCTCTCCTTCTCTGGCTTCATTTCTGAGTTCCATGTTAATCCTCCCTCCCTGATTTCGTGGGGGGAGCTGTCCGAAACCAGCAACCACACACGCGTGCACACACTCACACACACACATGTCTCTAACGGAACTTTCAGGACCAAGCACTTGTCTGATGATATGTCGAGAGAGCGAGGCCAAGAGGTGCTCCCAACTTCTGTCTAATATGCACCACACGTTGCTCTGCCTTTAGGCCACTGCTGTGAAGCTCTTTATATCTTGATTTCTTATAGAAGACTTTCACTTTCTTTCTCTGATTTTCCTTATGCATTTGTCCCTTTCACTCTCTTTTTCTCAATATTTGGTCCCCCTGGGTCCCACTCGAGCCTCCATTTCACAGACCTTGTGTGCGTGCAGTGGCCTCGCAGCACCCCGCCCTCCGCAGTCCTGAAGCCGTCAGAACTGCAATCATGGAGTTGTGCATGATTCCTTCTGTAGTCTCTGGCTCCCCCAGTAGACAGGCACTGAAGTGTGCGCGGCGCTGCTACCGGCTCCGACAAAAGGCAGGTCCCCGCCAGGGCCCCTGAGGAGCGGCTGCTCCAGTTACGCCAAGAGGCACGGACCCTGCTCACCTGCTGCTCCTGGTCCAGACCCGCCCCTGACACTGTGGGTGCGGATTTTAAAATGAAAAATGCCTTCTTACTTTGACGTTACTAAGAACTAGGAAGTTATTTAAAATTTTTCTTGAATTTGATTTATAAAGACAGCAAATTAATTTTCAAATATATGAAATACACCCTAATCCTTAAATGTGTGTTTTGTGCACATTTTTATCCATTTATGGAATATCATTTTTACTCTCACCATACTAAATATTAATTCATAAGTGATATGTGTTTGCGTTTCCCCATGGTACGCCTTATGCACCTTATAAGCATTGTAATGTAATTCTATTTTATTTATGTATAAATATAATATATATATTATATATATGTATGCACACAAACACTTTTTGTCCTTTTTGGTTAAAATGTGAGGAAATTCATCCTGATGTTTGAAAGTGGCTTGTAGCCTCGAATTTTCAAATTTCTATTGGTTTAACTGATGTCTTCCTCCCTCTTTTCCCCCAGATAATTCTGTTCACTTAGGATAGCTTTGGAAAAGACGATTTTATAGGAAACATAAAGACTTGAAGAGGAAGGAAGGAAGATGACCCATGCGCTGATGGAGATTAGAGCACACTGGAGCTGTCGTGGCAGAAGGGACTCTGTGCCCCTCTCATGAATGGTCCACTCTGGGAGCCTGGAAGGGTGGGAGGGCAGAGGAACGACGGAGGGTGCTTCTCAGCAGGTGCGAGACTGTCCACCCCAAGATCTGGTTTAAGGCTTTGCATCATGAAAGTGTTGAAATTCAGAAGCGATCTTTTGTCAGTTGTTCAATCCTCAGCCTGCAATTTTAAGGACACAGAAAATAGAAGACTATACTCTTTGTAAAACCATATTTTAAATATTTTCATTGATTTAACTGTGGACTATTTATTGGCCTGATTTTTCAGTAGTCTCAGTGTGAATGAGGTCTATAACATAGCAATGAGTATTTCTGGGATACCAATTTTCTAATGTGAGTAAATGTGTTATCGTAGCGGATACCATGAAGATCAAAATTTAAAAGTAGTTTTTAAAATGAGTCGATTAAATGTAATTATGGGTTTTTAAAAAAATTAATTTCATTGCTCCCAAATAATTTAAAAACCTGTATTTCTTTCATTGAATCTTAATAAACCAAAAACAAGCCACAGCCTGAAACATTTAAATTAAATATAAAAAAAGAAAGTTGCCAGTACCAGGAGAGATTTGATATTTGGATAAGTAACCAAGGGAGAGTGTGAAATTTCTGAAGCTTCAAGGGAAAACAAATGACAGCGATTTACCTCTGCTTGGTATAACTTAGGTGTAAGTCCCAAGGGGAAAAAGATCAGGTGTAGACGACGGCGGGGCAAAGCTGGCAGTCATGCCGGAGTGCACTGGGGGTGCCGGTGGTAGTATTTGCCACTGGTGAAAAGGCAAAGAGATACTACTGCACTCTAGTCCCCAACTGTCACAACGGAATTGGCCGTATTTCTCAAGGTTCTGCCTGCACAACTTGGTATTTGATTTGCTCATTCTCTTTCTTCTCCACCTCTCTCTCTCATCTATTTACTTATTCATCACCCCAGAAAGGCCGTGCTGAAATAAATGTGGAAGGAAGCTTCTCCACGGAGGAGTAGATGGGCAGGCTTGTCAGTTAACCGGGAGAGGACAGGAGAAAGTCCAGAGACGAAGCAGGCAGCACGGGGCTGGCTCCATCCTCGTCCTCCCTCCAACACGCCAGCTCAGTGAGCCCGGACTCGGGGCACAGTCCAACCTACAGCAGGGGCTTGGGTAGGAATGGGCGGAAGATTTCCTTTTGATTTTTCATGGCTAATGATGAATTCAAAAACTGAACGCAAGGGGAAATTATCTGGATAATTTCTAAATAAATTATGAGAGGGAACTGAATGCATTTGTGTCTAGACTGCCAGTCTTCATTTATAGACATCGTCTGAAGATGCTTGGCCTCAGTACCTAAATCGCTGATATATTGACATTGACACAAGGCATCCTTATGTTGTCCCATCTAAATGTTCCGTGGCACGTAATGTCTCTGCCTCCCAGTGTGGCTTTGAGCAGTAGATGAGATAATGTATGTAGAAGCAATCTGTCAAATGTGAAGTCGTCTACAATCAAAATAACTTATTTTTTATGAAGCAACTTTAATTTTATGAAAAAATCTTCGTTTTTTAACTAAATAACAATTCTTCTGCTTGTGCAATCTTTTTGTGTTACCAGTAAGAGCAAAATACCATAGTTTTTATCTCTACACTTAGTGTAGTTGACAAAGGCTTTAATTTTTCAAATGAGGAAAATATCCAAGTCCTCATTTCCCTGATGTTTAGCTGCTGCTCGTGAACGTTTGGGCTTCCTGAATCGCTGAAGATCCTATGCACAGCTCTGCATCACTGCAGGAGAATGCAGCGTCTATTTTCCTAAGTCACCTCCTCTTGCACCTGAACGCTTCTTGGGTTAGTCACCTACATGCACAAGTCCTGTGTAACATCACGGGACGTGCCCTGACCCTTCTACGAGGTATCCTCTGTTGTTAATGAGTGTGAGCGGCAGGGAAAGCAAGCCATGGCCATACACATTAGCACATAGTGACAATCTCTTTCAGTCCACAACATTATATCATTTCTAATGAGCGCCCATTGATCCAGCACGTGGTAGCCAATGCCAGGTCCCATCTTATCTCAGGGTGTAGAGAGACTGTCCCATCTCTGGAGTTCCTCAGTGCCCTGGGTGCCGCATCCCTTCGTGTTGCTGTCTCCTCTTTAGAGAGCAAAATGTGGCTAACACAGTGACTGGTCTATTTGACTTCTTAATTCCCCTCTGGAGCATCTTTTTCTTCAACAGATGTTTTCAAAATAATTAAGTGATGGGGAGCATGCATTATTGAAAATGCTGGATGCCTCCCTAATGCTCTCCACATTTGTATATTTGTCAGCGCAGAATTGAGTGCTCAGAAATGGTGTGCTATTTATTTTGCAAATTACTGAACACTCAGCCTAGCCAAAGAGGAGAGGAGGGGAGGACGCAGCCCATCGGACTCTGGTCCCTGCAAACGCTCCCCCATCAGTAGCTTCAGGAATCATGAAGTCCTGTATGACCTTGGAGCAAGAATCCTTTTTAAAAGAAAATCCAGCTGATCACTCACACATAAAATAATTTCTGGAATTGAGACCATTTATTTGTTTAATTTTCAAATTTCAGAAACTTCACATTCTCTGTTCATAACCTTTGTCCAACATTAAATAACTCTTGGACTGGGAAATTTCCTTTTATACTTCATTATTTTAAAAACGTTTGAACCTATTCCATACCCAGGATTCTCAAGTCTGGTTCACCGACGGCCCTTACTCCAGCTCTTCAACTTGTCTGGGGCCAACATTGCATTCTCGAACCGCCTGGTCTTTGTTCTGACCTATGCCTTTGTGCCAGGCAGGAAGGAATCCAACACACGCCCCCACCTTCAACATGACAAGCATGTGAATGATGCTAAGAAATACCTAGGTCTTAGCTGTTGAAATAAATTTGCAATTTTCATGAGATCTAGATTGCTATCTCCCTCTGAGAGTATATTTTTGGGTGTAATTGGAATTCATAATTAAAATCTTTTGAACTCGGTGCTTCAGATTTGGGCTGAGAACCTACACTTTTTGACTTTATGTCTCAAACCTGTCCATGCGAGTTTGTGAGATCCTGTCCTGAGGCCACTAGTGACTGAAAGGATCACTTGGGATAAGGTGTTTTCATCTGGGTAAGCAGGTTCTCAAGCCCATAAGAACTCTTCTAATTCAAGACTATCTTCCAGAAAAGAAACACATTGTTCCCGAATGCCTTGGCCTTGAGAGTGAAAAATTTATTTATTCATTTTTCCAATGAATGTTTCTGGAGCACTCACCTGATTCCAGGTGCTGTGGGTAAAGGCATAAATGTGACAATGGAACCTCTAGCTCTCACAGAACTTATATAGTTGAAGACAGGCAACGAACAAAGAGACACAAAGTATCATTTCAGGTCCTGACTTGGGCATGTCGAGGTCTCCTGACAAGCGTGCACATACAGATTTGTCATTTCTTGATGATCATATTCCCAACCGCTCCACACCAAACTGGTCACCTACTCTGGTTTCTGGAATTCGCAGGACATTGGGAAGGTCATAATTTGAACTGGGTTGAGGGCCATTGCCTTAGTTAGATACCGTGTTCTCCAAATGAGACATGTTCATGAGAAGGGGCATGAAAACACCTCCACACATTATCTTCTCTCCTCATAACTCTATTGCAATGAGCAAGGACCAAGTCCAGCCCTAGAACCTGTCCCAGAGTGTGGAATGTGCCTCATGAAGAGATGTCCAACTACCCGTCAAATGGCATTAGTTAGTATCCACTTGTTGGATAGGATATCAAAAGAAGAAGGAGCAGGAGGAAGAGGGGGAGAGAAGATGGAGAAGAAGCATTTAAAATACAGAAAGAAAATAGTATGCATTTCATTTTGATATTAAATGTCATTTTCGGTGCTACAAGAATTTTTGACAAATGAAAAATCGCAGTCTAACATTATCTGCCTTTAAGAGATTTTGGACATTAAAAATAAAGAACACTTTTGTGCTGCACTTGGATGTTGTGTCATGGAAGTGGCATATTCAATCAACATCCTTTCAAATAGGAAGTATAAAACTGATTCATAAGATATGGATATCCCCAAGAATCATAAAATAAATTTTTCAGAGAAAAATAAGTGATTATAGAACTTCTGCTTCTGGGAAGATGGAGTATGTGTACTTCCCCCTGTTCCTATCACTAAACGCGACTAAAAACTCTGGACATTATGTAGTAAACAAATCATAAAGACCCTGAAGGGTGGAAAGAGGAGAAGCTGGTTAGGAATCTGAAGACCCGAGGTATGACATGGTGGTGACTTAGCTGGTTTCTTATTGCTTTATGTGTCTCAGAGTTGGAGCTGAACAAGCCAGCAACTGACAAATGCCAATAGAGGCAGAAGAAAGCCCAGTAGAAGTCTGCTTTCTCTAGCCAAAGGAGCAGGAAAAGAGTAGTTTAGCAAGACAGACAACTTTAGATAAGAGCTACTCTACTCCAGCCCAATACCAGTCAAGAAAGACCGTGACCCACCCAACCCACCACCAAGGGCCGGGTCCGGAGCCTAGACATCCACCCTTAGGAGGATGTAACGAGAGATCCGGCACTCCTGGCAGGTGTCGTCAGAGAGACTGGACTCTCACGGCCATCAGGTGACCCAGAGTCAGTGAGGACCATATGGGGAGGCTGTGCTCCCACCTCCAACAACAGGTATGAGGTGCCTCCCCTCTCTGCTGGGGTGCTGTCAGAGGAGGCCTGGAGGAGAGTCTGGATTTTCGCCACTGCCCAGTGCTGATGCATCACCTAACCTGTGGTCAGTGGAGCCACGTGGGGAGCCAGACATCCAACCCTCCGAGCAGTGATGAGGACATGCCCCCTTAGGTGTCAAGGACATGAGTGAAGAACCTAGACTTCTAATTCTTCCACCTTCCACTGCTGGACTGGTGCCAGAGAAAGCCCGCTAAACAGAAGGTGTAACCAGGATCCGGAGTCTCATAATATAATATGAAAATATGGAGGTTTCGGTTCACTGCAGTCACCATATCACGTACCGGGGCAGTCTCAAACTTGAGAAACAGAGGCAATCAGCAGATGCCACTGCCAACAGGACAGAGCTGTTGGAATTACCCGGCAAGGTTTTAAAGCAGCTGTGATAAAATTGCATCCATGAGCAATATGAACACAATCGAAATAAAAGAAGAAAATGGAAAGTCCCAGCAAAAACGTAGGCGATATAAAGAAGAACTGAATGGAACTCTTAGAACTAACAATACAATATCTTTAACGGGAAAAAAAATTTAGTGAGTTTACACGGCACCAACACGGCGGGAAGAGAGCCAGTAACCTGAAGATGAAATAATAGAAACCACCTACTGTGAGGAACTGAGAGGAATGACTGAAGAGAGTCACCGGAGCCTCAGGGACTGTGGACAATACGTACGGCATGTGCATATGGAAAATATTTTGTGTTCACTCTAATTAGAGTATAAAATAAATATAAGCTTTCTTTGTTTTTTAAAGTCAAAACTGCTGTGAGTAACACAAAGTGAGGCAGTTCCCACACTTGCCTCAACTGACTCTCATATTGATGTATTCTTAAATAATTGTTCATTCCCCTGGAAAGAGCCCACAGTAAAGCACACAGATATGAGAGCAAATAAGGACCCATGCAAAAATGAACGCATAAGACCTGCAGGATGCTGGCTGGGCAGTCTCAGTAGCAGAGGCATTAGAGAGACGCAGAAGTGTGAGGGAAAGAGCACAAGGCCCGCTCTTCCTGTGTCTCTCCTTAGAGTCAGAGGAGAGGGGAGGCAGGTGGGTGTGGGGCCTGAAGAAAACAGCCAGTGAGGAGCAACGAGGAAGGAACCGCCTGCAGTGGGGCATCCAGG